AAAAAAAAGATAATGCTAAATTCCTCTAGGAGTTGGTTGTGCTTCCTTTACTTATAAAACAAATTCACAAAATATTATAATAACTATCTCTATAACACAGTCCAACCATTTCTATGTGATTCACAAACCCAATCTCTATATATATATATATATATATTTTATTTTTATTTTTTAATTTAGTTCATATAACTCAAAATTAATAAACTTGAATTTGAGTAAAAAAATTTAGGAGAAATTATGTAATAAAAAAACTAGAATTTGACTTTTGTAACAAATATTATGAGTTTTTAGTTTCATCAATTTAAACCCTGAACTTTTAATTTATTTTTCATTTAAACTATTTATCTATTTTCATTAAATAAAACAGACAATAAAAGAATATTAGTCATTAAACTAAATAAAAACAATATTTTAGAAATCTTTTTTATTTTAAAAATTAAAACTAAGTATATATGTATATACATACTAATGTACATATATGTATATAAATTTCATGTAACATATATTAATAATTGGGCCGAAACAAACTGTACTACAAGCAACATTCTAAACCCCGCTGATTTAATAAATGAACCTAAAAATAATTTCCACCCAAGTGTCTAGTTTGAGTTGAGTTGAAATTTGAGTACAGAAAATAGGTCTCCTTAGTATTAAAAAATAATAATAATTATTACAATTTAATTTAATAAAAGTTTTGAGTAAAGAAGTGAAGGGATTGTTATAGCTTCATACTTAAATTTAAGTTCGATTCTTGATTTGAATAAAGGGTTGAAGATACCCTTAATTAAATCAAGATCAATCTTGATGCTATTTCTACAGTCATGCTTCTTATTATACACTTTCTTTTACTATTTTGTAATTAATAAAATATTATTTGTTATCAATTAAAAAAAAAAAAAAAAAAACAGTACACCAGCAAAAAAAAAAAAAACTTGATCTTGCTATCAAGGGGAATTTCACAAGTGACCAAGTGATTTTACTTGATATCAGCCCACACAAGTTTGTTACAGAGAGATTGGAGGTTGAAGTGTGTCCAAACCTTTGATAAATCAAAATTTAACACAAAATTGGAAAAATGCTAAGATGAAGAGAACAAAGCACAAACAGATAGAAACCTAACAGCAACATGTCTTGGGCATTTTTGTTGCATGTGTTCTATTATAGGACTCAACATGGTCCAGAGTCACCATCTCATTCCTTATAATGATTTCTCATAAAAACATAAAAGAAAATCAATTAGGGGTCTGTACAACGTCATTAGAGTCACTAAGGCCTTGTTTGGGATATTCTAAAAAAGTTAAAAAGTCAAAAAGTTATTATCCTATTTAAGTCACATAATCTTATTTAAGTCAGATCACCTCTCTACCACACCACTTCAAACCTAACTCATATTTCATAAAAAATCAAAAAATATACTTATTTAGATAATTTCAAACCACCCTTTAATATTGTTCGCTGGAGGGGAACAAAGTGTGCGCATTCATTTTGTGAACATTGTTACGTACAAAAGACTTGTTTACAAAAAAATGCCTAAAATATTTAATATATGGTCTATGATATGAATTCCATTATATAAGAACTAAATTTAAATCACACATTACCTTTTTAAAATATTTTTGTGCGTATAACCTTAATATTTTGTGATACATGTGTCATACCCTTTTCCCTAAGCTTTGACACAACAATGTGTGAAGGGAATTTCTACCCCAAAAACACCCAACCAAACATAATAACAATAATAATAATAATAATAATAATAATAAATGAAAATGTGAAAATAAGAAAAAGAATATAAAGCATGCATGGACATTAGTAGCTTAAGATTTTTGGAGGTCTCTAATTAAACATCAAGATAAAATCTTATCTAATTAAGTTTTTGAAAAGTTGGGATTTTCGTCAATAAGAATTTTTTGAATTTTTTTGTGAACTTTAAATGACAATCTAAATAACAGACTAAGTTCTAAGAATTTTCTCGAATAGACCTATAATATATATATATATATATATATATTCACTCTAATACAAACCCTTGCTTGAAAATTGGAATGCTCCAACTAGTTTGTGATTCCTAGCAAATTCTCAAATCCCATGTTTAGGATAAATTCTTTAAGTATAATAACTAAAATACTTTAATATATTCCCTATGAACATATGTAAAAACCTTGAAAACCTCATAAAATTGGAATGATGCAAAGTGGGTGTTTTCCTAAATGCACAAAAATATGCTTAAGAAACTTGACACACTGAAAAAGCAAAGATTTCCCAATCATACCCACATAACATGACTTAAAGTAGTAAAAGTCCCTCTTTTGCTATCTGAGTCATTGCTCTAGCTAGGTATAGGATCCTATTCTAAGACTCACACAAAGAAATTAAAAAATTGATAAAAATAATAAAAACAAAACAAAAAGTTGAAACATATTGAATCTTTTGAAAGACTTTTTTTTTTTTTTTTTTTTTTTTTTTTTTATTTCTATGATGAAGATTGGCTTTACTTGGCCCTACAAATCTGTTGGAACAAGTAATTGAAATAAAAATATGCAGATTTTGACAAGAACCCATTAACATTTTTCTTATGCTTTCTTCTATTTTTCCTTCTCTTACTTTGTTCCATTCTTATATATATAAGGGAGAATTATAAATAAATGGATTGACTACGAATATTACAAATCAGTGGAGATTATAAAATTAGTTTATATTTTTCTATCTCTCCTATATTTATTTTAGATTCCTCACTAATTTGAAATTTTTTTTTTAGTCAATTCTTTTAGGAAAAATTGCATATCAGTGTACTTTTATAAAAATAATTACAAATCAATGAAAATTTTTATGAAACATTAAGAATTAAATTCATAAATTTTTTAATGATTTTATAATTATTTTTTAAAAATAAAATTGTAATTTTCCCATTCTTTTATGTATAATAATTGTATGCATACTTCTATATATTTTCATGTTTTCACAGTTCGATTCTCTTCAATTAAAAGTGGAAAAGACACCAGTAAAGAGCAGGACCCACAACAAAGGGAACAGACCAGAGAGAGAGAGACCCTCACAAACCAGAAACCTTATTATGGTACACCCAAAGTCCAATCACATTGAATTATGATGGTGCTTCCATCTTTCTCTTTCCTTTTTTCTTCATTTTTTTGAAGTAGAAAAAAAAACGTGATTGCATTATAATTTATAGAATCCGTAGACTCTAATTTTGGAATAATTGATTGTCAGTCAGATTTAATCTAACTTATAAGAAGATAAGAAGAGATCTATTACCGAAATACCTAATGAATCTCATCAAGTGCTATAGAATATGCTAAGTTTCGATCAGAATACAATATAAAGTATGCCTCCAAATTCAAACCAGACCAGACCCTGGTGGACCGGTGGTGATGGTGCTTCTATCTATCATGGTGGTTAAGGTGACTTATTATAGGAACCCATTTTCTCCATATTGACTTATTATAGGGAACCCATTCTCCAATTTCCATAATGGAGACTTGTAAGGTTTATCACGTATTTTATTTTGATAATTTATTTAATTTTTGTACATATAATATTCATATGGAAAAAATAAAATAAATATAATAAATAATAAGTATGATTTAAAGATAAAATTATTCAAAAATAAAAAATATGATAAAATCATATAGTTATGCTTATTAAATTAATTAATTAATTAATTTTTTTTTTTTAATGATTCGCACGCATGAACTTAAAAGAATTAAAAAAAATAAAAAATTTATCATAGTGGACCTGTGGTGAACTTTATGGTTCAAATAGGACTATCCAGTTTGTATAGTGGACTGAACATAATGTGGACCATATTTATAAATCCTATTTGACTGGAGGTCTATTAGATTATGTGATGAAAATATCAGATTAAATTCGAGAGATCTTCAAAAAGTTAGAGAAAATAAGGTTGTAGTTGAGCCGGCCCATTACACAATCAAAAGTGGGCCTTGAGGATACCCAAAACAATTGTGCCCGTGTAAATTTGGGTTGGTGCCCCAGGAGAAGTTATTCACAACTCACTTATTGATTGGTGTGGCCCAAATCATATCGTGTGCTACTTACCAGTTAATTGGAGTAGCCCAACTTGACGTTTGGGTTGGTGACCTAAAACAAGTTATTCACTACCATGTACGACTGAGATGTGGATATTGAATAATTTTTAAAAAAATGCGTGAGAACTCGAATGTGTAGAGCTCGAATGGCTTGAAAATATTATCTTATCTGTAAAAGAATCAAAAAACACCCTAAAACGACGTCGTTTTGAGATTTCGAGCCATTTGATTTTCGAGCTACGGAGCAGTGCCGTAATTTTTATTGGTGCCTCACCAGTCACATCCCAACACAACCCTTCCAAGACCATACCAAAGAAAGAAAATAACACACCATATATGAGTAACGATAAGTGCACAAAATTCATGCACAAAAGACTCAGAAAATAAAAAAATATATGATACAGATTCAACTCATACATTATGGAACTTACATGTAGAATAAATCAAAGCCACACAATAATCTGTACATAAAATCGCTCCACATATATATGAAGTAACCTGAAAAAGAAATTGAGCACGTCTGTCATCAAAATGGCGCAAGTACTTTGCAAGCACATGTTACAATGGTTCTCATGAACACTCTGTTTGAAGCGAGTAAAAAGCTCAAGCGCACACAACAGTAGCAAAGCATGCATTGCAGGGTTCCAGAGAGCAGCACAATGCCGCCCCCCCTCAACCACCATGGACACCATAGTCACAAGCTTGGCAATGCAACAACAGCTAAAAATGACCCTACATCTCATCATTGTCATACCAAAAGACGATGAAACCGAGCACAGATACACAGCATAAAACTCCACAGTTGTAACACCAATGCAAGTGGTCCAGTTTTTTCAAATTCAAACACTACGGTTTTTTCCCAATCAGTTATGCATGAACATGAACGATGCACACAAATTCAGTATATTGCTCAGACAACATATAGAAGCAGAAAAAGAATGCAAGAAGGAATTTTGGAATTTTATTAAAGTAGTCCAAGGGACAAATGAGATGATGACCCATTGCTACAAGAAAGAATAAAGAACCCTTAGCAAAGGGAAGCAGCAGACTCTGAAATTAAATAAGAGGACAAAATGGGAATTACCCACTTTCCTCGCAAGAATTAAATCTGTGATTGTTAAAAATGACAAATTTACATCAAAGTCATTAACCACAAAATCTACTTTCTACTTGCAGGAAGGTTCCCCTGCCAAAGACTTTGGAAAAAAATATTACCCCCGGCCCGAGAACCCCAAGAATCACCGGCATGCAAATTTGCCCCAATTCGAGGCCTGCACAAAGAATCATAAACTTTTTTTGGTCATCTAAACTTGGTTAATTTTTTGCCGCTGCTCCCCAAATCAATCTTTTCAGTCTTGCCCTGTTGTTAGAACTCCATTAGAGAGAAAAAAATGAGTTAGCAGAGTCAGGATCTAGATGATGCTCCAGAGGCAGGCTAACCGGATTTTGTGTTGGTCCTAGAGATCTACTCAAGAATTGTTGGGCCTCTGACTTTAAGGCGCTTTGGACCAATCTCTATAGGAAGTGGTTCTCTTATTGTCCTTCCTAAGTCATGGTCAAACCTACCATCTCTGCGCTGTTCTCTGTATTTACTCACCGCTTCCTCATTAGCAGTTTTCTTAAATTTAATTGACACGGGAACAGTGGTTCCTCTGGCAAACCTGTCTCTCGAAGCACCATCTGAAGTTTCTTTAGAGGCTGTCGAACACTCTGCTGACATCAATTGCCCGCATCTTCCCACAGGTTGGAGTTTCTTTAGTCGCTTAAGCCCCTGCAGAAATAAATACAACTCGGATCACAACAAATGAGAGACTAGTATAGAAGCTAACTAATATTACTAACTATAAGCAAAAATGCAAAACCAATGAATAAATATGCTATAGACATAGAAAATATAGTAGGCAAATATACCTGATGTTCGAAATTTGAAGAGATTGCATCATTCACGTTTCTTTGTTCCGTTTTTACAGATGAACGGCGTTTAACCCTGAATATCTCTGAATCAGACTCATCACTGTCCTGAGCTAGAACAGGCCTAACCTCTCGTGTACCCAAACTTGCATCACTAACAGAAGTTTGTGAAGGTTCATACACATTGCGAGTTACGTCTTTAGAAAACTTTGTAGATCCGATATCTCCTAAACTGAAGTTAGCATGAAACTGTACCTGTCGAAAATATAAGGAAAACAGATAAGTATACCTCAGTGCAACCCAATAAAGAGGCCATGTGTGGATAAAGGAGCTAAAGCTTACATTGTTGGCCATGGAAATATTTTCAGCTGGTTCTAGAAAAGAACAAAGCGTGGATGCAGCAGAAGAAAGGGAGGCATATGATAATTCAGTCTTGAAATTTTCTGCTCCAATGCTCTGATCTTGAGTTTTGGCAATTTCTGGGATCAAATCAAAATTTATCTCACAATAAGGACTGTATCCATCCTGTTCGGTAGTTGGGAACTCATTTGATAGGAGAAATAAATCACCACCACTTCTACACTGTTGTTGAGCCTCACACAATATATCCTCTTCTTTCTCAAACTTCTTGGCAGCAGCTTCCATATCAAGAATATCTTCCCTCAAACACAAAGTACGATTTCCCCCACAAGGAACGTCAAGTGACTTAATATCTGGATTATGCAATCAATTGATGTATCTCAGTATCAAAACAAAAGGGCAACATTTCAAAAAATAAGACTAAAGCAAGAAAACGAGCCAACATACCATGGCGAAGGCATATGGGATGCAAGCAACAGTTGCAATTGAGGTATGCTACATAACAATCACGTTTGCATAGGCTGCAGAGAATTCCATGAGAAATTAGAGAAACACCAATGCATGCATTTGTTTTCATTAGACACCACTGTGCACGGTGCTGGAACCTCATCAAATTAACAAAAGAAATCTTAATGCTACGGTGACAGATCAACTCTGTGGATGAATAATCTGGATCTTCCAGCTCCAAACTTCTATGAAGCAGCATTGCTTCTTTGCAAAGGAGTTCCTCATGAGGAAGGAGAGGTATCCGGTTAAGAAGTGCATAACGTCGGCTAGCAATTGACCCGAGAGGGAACCAATCACCAATTGCAAAGTTCACCGCTTCACCGCAATTAAAACCTGAAAATTTAAGAAAATGAGTGGTAGAAGTGATAAAAAGTCCACACAACAACGCAGAATAATATAAAGACGTCGTGGAATATCGCTTTCATAATCTTCTTGATTAGCCCCAGTCTGAAGGACATGTTTACACTAGAGAAGAACATCTTACCATGACTAAATCCTGCATGATATGCTCTAGGGAAAGTTACTATAAATTCCCCAGGCTTTTGCACAGCCTTGTAGACTGGGACGTTATGTTCTAGCAAAATATTTGGAGGAAACAAGGTTGTTTTCCCCAAAAGCACATCAAACGCCCCATCCTCTCCATCAGTCGATAGTATGTCATGAGTATAAACATGCTCCCGGACCACCTTTTCAAAATCTAAAGCTGCATGTCCAGGAATACCATACCAAGTTTTTGCCGCCCCACAATGATGATAGTTGATACTGCAAGCAGATAACATACTATATATGAAGTTCTCTCTCAGCAGAAAAATAAATCCCAAGAGGAATACCATTTATGTAAGAAAGTACCTATACAAATAATGATCCTCCACATGCCAAGCAAACATACTAAATAGCATCCCAATATATAGCATTGGTTCGGTAACTCCCTGAAAAAAGAGCTCAGGACTGATGAGAAACAGAACGAGCATGTAGATATAAAGCAAAAATTCAAATCAAGAAGGGGAAAATTATCTCAGTACCGGAATTGCAGTTTCGAGAAGACGTAATACAGACTTGGGCAAGCGAGAAAGTTTCTGAAAGCATAATAGAGAACAGTCCATGAGCACATGCTATTAGGCAAGCAAGTCAATCATATCAGAAAATTACAGTGAAATGGTGGCTAGAAGAAATATTATTATAAAGGTGTTGTAGTCCAAACATAAAACGGGGTGCAAAGAAAGGAGAAGATTAAAACAAAAATAGATAAATAAGGGAGTGAAGAACAAAGAGCAGGAGGCTAATTTTTACAGGAAAATAATAAACAACATACAGTGAAAAGAATACAAAAAAAATTGAGGAACTTAAATCTCATGAATTACAATATCATCCATTTTAAATGGGTGTGAATGCATCTAATAGTATGTGTAGAAATTTAATATATAAAGAGAAATAGAGAATTGTATTATTGATTGATTGATTTATATTGATATTTGTAATTGTTGAATTATTGAATGCTACAATGATTCCTATATATAGAAGAGTAGGTGGTAGATGGAGTAGGTAAAGTGGAGGTGGTAGATGGAGTAGGTGAAGTGGAGGTGGTAGTGGTGTAGTGGGTTTAGTGGAGTAGGTGAGGTGGTAGTGGTGTAGTGGGTTAGGTTTAGTGGGTGAAGTAGGTGATAGGTTTTAACAGCCCCCCGCAAACTCAAGAGGGATAGGAACTAACCAACTTGAGTTTGGAGAGAGTAACAAAACAAGAAAATACATAAAAAATAAAAGAGGATAGGAGACACTGTATGGTCGTGTCAGACCGTTGTAGAAGACCGATGTAGAAGACACTGGCTCGTGTCGGACCGATGTAGAAGACAGTTTATGGGGTCATGTCGGACCGTTGTAGAAGACAGTTTACGGAGTCTTGCTGGACCCTTGTAGAAACTAACCGGAATCAATGTCGGGACAGTTTACAGAGTCTTGTCGGACCCCTAAAAAGTCGCACCCTCAAAAGGTGTGCCCAATCTGGTGAACTTTATGGTTCAAATAGGACTATCCAGTTTGTATAGTGGACTGAACATAATGTGGACCATATTTATAAATCCTATTTGACTGGAGGTCTATTAGATTATGTGATGAAAATATCAGATTAAATTCGAGAGATCTTCAAAAAGTTAGAGAAAATAAGGTTGTAGTTGAGCCGGCCCATTACACAATCAAAAGTGGGCCTTGAGGATACCCAAAACAATTGTGCCCGTGTAAATTTGGGTTGGTGCCCCAGGAGAAGTTATTCACAACTCACTTATTGATTGGTGTGGCCCAAATCATATCGTGTGCTACTTACCAGACTGCGGTAGTAGCCCAACTTGACGTTTGGGTTGGTGACCTAAAACAAGTTATTCACTACCATGTACGACTGAGATGTGGATATTGAATAATTTTTAAAAAAATGCGTGAGAACTCGAATGTGTAGAGCTCGAATGGCTTGAAAATATTATCTTATCTGTAAAAGAATCAAAAAACACCCTAAAACGACGTCGTTTTGAGATTTCGAGCCATTTGATTTTCGAGCTACGGAGCAGTGCCGTAATTTTTATTGGTGCCTCACCAGTCACATCCCAACACAACCCTTCCAAGACCATACCAAAGAAAGAAAATAACACACCATATATGAGTAACGATAAGTGCACAAAATTCATGCACAAAAGACTCAGAAAATAAAAAAATATATGATACAGATTCAACTCATACATTATGGAACTTACATGTAGAATAAATCAAAGCCACACAATAATCTGTACATAAAATCGCTCCACATATATATGAAGTAACCTGAAAAAGAAATTGAGCACGTCTGTCATCAAAATGGCGCAAGTACTTTGCAAGCACATGTTACAATGGTTCTCATGAACACTCTGTTTGAAGCGAGTAAAAAGCTCAAGCGCACACAACAGTAGCAAAGCATGCATTGCAGGGTTCCAGAGAGCAGCACAATGCCGCCCCCCCTCAACCACCATGGACACCATAGTCACAAGCTTGGCAATGCAACAACAGCTAAAAATGACCCTACATCTCATCATTGTCATACCAAAAGACGATGAAACCGAGCACAGATACACAGCATAAAACTCCACAGTTGTAACACCAATGCAAGTGGTCCAGTTTTTTCAAATTCAAACACTACGGTTTTTTCCCAATCAGTTATGCATGAACATGAACGATGCACACAAATTCAGTATATTGCTCAGACAACATATAGAAGCAGAAAAAGAATGCAAGAAGGAATTTTGGAATTTTATTAAAGTAGTCCAAGGGACAAATGAGATGATGACCCATTGCTACAAGAAAGAATAAAGAACCCTTAGCAAAGGGAAGCAGCAGACTCTGAAATTAAATAAGAGGACAAAATGGGAATTACCCACTTTCCTCGCAAGAATTAAATCTGTGATTGTTAAAAATGACAAATTTACATCAAAGTCATTAACCACAAAATCTACTTTCTACTTGCAGGAAGGTTCCCCTGCCAAAGACTTTGGAAAAAAATATTACCCCCGGCCCGAGAACCCCAAGAATCACCGGCATGCAAATTTGCCCCAATTCGAGGCCTGCACAAAGAATCATAAACTTTTTTTGGTCATCTAAACTTGGTTAGCATTCCTGGCTGTTGCTGCCCCTTCATTGCCTTGTTTTCTGGGGATCACTGCCCTGTTCTTGAGGTAACTTGCATGACTAGTTTTGTAGTGGCATCACTGTTATGCATTAGGTGGTCACTGATTTGAATAAGAGAAATTCTTTATAGGTTGCGATTTGGAGCATTATTTACTTTATTGCTACTTGTGTTTGTGGGTGTGGCTTCAGTTGCAGTCAAAAGACTCAAAACAATGGGTTTCATTTAGGTTTTCGTGGTCTTGGTGAAAATTATGGAACTTCATATTTACTTGAATACAATCTTTGTAACATGCATCTCAGAACTTTTAATAATCTGCATTTTAACTGGTCTTATTAGTTGTATGGTTATATCCTATTATTTTTGTAGAAATTTAATGTATAAAGAGAAAAAGAGAATTGTATTATTGATTGATGTTTGTAATTGTTGAATTATTGAATGCTACAATGATTCCTATATATAGAAGAGTAGGTGGTAGTAGGTGGTAGATGGAGTAGGTAAAGTGGAGGTGGTAGGTGGAGTAGGTGAAGTGGAGGTGGTAGTGGTGTAGTGGGTTTAGTGGAGTAGGTGAGGTGGTAGTGGTGTAGTGGGTTAGGTTTAGTGGAGTAGGTGAGGTGGTAGTGGTGTAGTGGGTTAGGTTTAGTGGGTGAAGTAGGTGATAGGTTTTAACAGTATGCAATAGAGAAATAATTTTGGAATTTATTACTAACAGTTGGATGTGAACAAATAAATGCATGTCTCCCTAAAAAGTTGGCTTTTCCCCAGTTACTTTAGAGCGGGGTTGGACATCACATTCACCATCAAGACAAAACAATACAAAAGGAGATAGTGGGAAATCAAACAATATAAAAAAATTAATAAAAAAAAACAATATACCCCCTCCCCAAAAAACTACAAATAAATAAATAACAAACAAACAGGTGGGTCTGCTCAATGAAATATCTCAAAAGGCATGGAGATCAATTACCTCAGAAAATTATACATTTGGAAAATTATCACCTCAGATGTGAAGTATCTGAGGTAAACAGGAGGGGTGGGGAACAAAGAGAGGATGATAAAATGGAAGACAAAAGATAAGGACAAAAAAAGGACGAGAGAACAAAAGGAGGGGTCATGTTTAATGGGATGATACTAAGCAACATACACCACATCAAAACAAACTAAAATCCACCAAAATACTACAAGGGAAGAGCAACAAGCTAATTAGATCAACCAACTTCTTTGAATCTTAATTCTCAAAATCAGTAATTTTTTCATGTTAAAGTTCAGCAAAAGAACTTCCATCTGAAAAAAATCATAAAAACAACAATAGTAAAAAGATCAACACACCTTGAGATTCCATTTGCTTTTTCCAAGCTGATCATTGGGAGAAGATGAAAAGGCACTACCATCAACATCACAAGCATATTCAACACTGTCTGTCTTTCCACAAGCTATTTCATGCCAAAATTCTTTTTCCATGTACGTGGCAGGAAGACATCCAGCACTGTAGTATCTACGAGCAAAAACTTTGGTCGCCATTTTCTCAAAATCATGGAATGTGTAATTCCTGAAAAATTAAAAATCATACTCAAACCATGAACACATCCAGTGAAAAATGCAAATCTCCAGTTAGTATGAAACTCACCTCCCACTCATGAAAAAGGTGACCTTGTCATCAGTATCCCACTCAGCAAGACGGAGGGGTTGCACTCTAGTTGTAAACTTAAAACCTGCTTTCTCTTTCATCAACACCATACCAGCAGGAACAGATGCATTCAATGGGGAAACAATCTTGCATATACCTGAAAGTCAGAAACATGGATTCAATAAGAAATAAGGGTGATATTCCATTCATGCACGACAAATTAAAAACACTAATGCATAAATAAATTGCTACTCCATGCAAAACAAATCAAAACACTGAAGTGAAAAAATAAAAACTTGACAGTTATATTCATATAAACCCTTGGAAGACGAATCAATTATGTGCATATAAACATCAAAAGGAAAATTACCATATCTTGAAGCTTCTGGTGCTATCTTTTGCAGATAAACCAAAGGATCCTCAAAGTCCTCTTTACTTGGACAATAAACAGGACACTCAGGAATTTTTTCAATCCATTCGAGATCATTTAAGTCAAACTTAATAACCTTGCGTTTTGAAAATGCATCATTCCCATTTGAAGCACCACCAGATCGAGAAAATGTATCTGCATTACCATGTAATCTCATGCTGCATGATGCTGAACCTCTTAAAGCATCTCCTCCGCTTCTAGTCATCATGTTAGTGACACACACAGTATTCGTCAAAGTTTCAGGTTTCATACGCTGAAGCCTTTTATGCTTCAGAAATTCTAATTTAGCCTCTCGGGACATACAAACCCTTCCTTCCACCTGGAAAAAGTACAACAAAGAAAACTGATCAGAAAATTATACGTGAAAAAAATACAACAGTAATATGTGGATCAACAAGCTTAATTTATAACTGCCAGTGCCAAAGAACAAATACACCCAACATTGATCCAAAGAAAGGGATGAAAGCAACTGCAGCCACACTTCGCCATACTTTTATTTGAAGTAAATAAACTTTATTCAAAGGAAGGCATTAAGGGAATGCCACTCCAATGGATAGGTATCGCTTGGGTACTGATGCTGTGATTTTCTATATATTTTTCTTTTTTTGATAAGAGCAGAAGTATGCTAACAAAACAGCCTTAAGCAGGTGAACCCTGTACACTCATAGCCAAAATCTGGAAGCTATACATCCTAAAGCATGAACATTCTCTATGCTTTGCACAAAAGACAAAATGGAGAGAAATCCTTTCTCAACCAAAAATATAGAGAAAGGAGTAGAGATCCTTCGAGACTGCACAAAGGTGACTCAAAGTTCTCAAATGATCTATTGCATTCTGCCAAAACTGCCACGAACAAATAAAGCTGTTGTCCACCAATTCTTCCTGCCCAACTTCCTTGGGGAACAAAAACCCCAGCAAGCTAGATCTTTCCTACTGAATTTTTTATTCCTGCAAGCAAATTCCAACAGGGGGGGGGGGGGGGGGGGGGTTGGGAAGAACTGATGTGCATGTTTGATCCCCGAGTTATTATATTTTAACGATTTCAATCATTTGTAAAGGATTTTATAACACCAAAATAGACAATTTAATTGGCACTGAGTTTTATATTTGTTTCAAGTCAGTGTTAGTGTAAATTGCTTCATATGTTCACCTTTTCACTACTCCCTGACCAATTAGGGCATTGTAAGATGATGGAATGAATGATTTGATTTACTTCTTGAGGACCGTGACACTAGTCACATCTTTAGGGACCTAACAGCATGAACGACCATTTCAGCACCATGACAAACAAATAGCCAATGTATATTACAACCCAGTGACGCTTTGTCACAGCTTTTTCATTCCTAGATTGCCTTGCAACTACCTCACCTTTTTTTTTTTTTTTTTTAATTTCAAACTTCAATTTTTTAGTTTTCTTCTTCTCTTAATCTAGGTTTTTTTTTTTTTTTTTTCCAATCAATAAAAGATCAACTGATTGATTTTCTTAGCATATACATCGGGAATGCACGCCTTCTATTGATAAACATAAAGGAACAAATGCAGATATGGTTGTGAATTGTACTCCAACTAATCAGTCCACCATGCCTGTCTGTTGGAGAGAATTGGATGATCGGGCCGAGGGCTGCCCCCTCTTCCCCTCACTCTCCTTTCCCTAATATGAACCTTGAGTCACCAAAGCCTTTCTGACCTATGTTACCTAGAACGTGGATCGTTCCGGTACATGGAACATCAAAGCCTTTCTAGACTATGTTACCCAAAACGTGGATCGTTCCGGTACACGAAACGGGAACGGGAACGTGGTACACCACATACTTTAAAACGTGGTACAATAAGAGCAGACTTATATATATTATACTTAAGAATTTAAGATACTTGTAAAGTAATTTTCTTTTATCTATTAAGTATCCAATAACTTATTTTTTTTCAATGTAGCAAATTATTTCTATGAAAATTATGACCCGTTTTTTATTTTTTGTCTTGTCAAAACTTAACTCACCTTAGATTTTGGTTCATATATTTGATTTTTTTTCTCCTAAGGTAACATTTAGGAAAATATATTGGAAAAAACTTTTGGGATCGCTTCGGATCACTAAATTTACTATTTTGGAAAGGAAGTGTGCCATGTTTCGGAACGTGCATACCAATATGTGATTCGCTAGAGTATTAGCATTTTCTGGTAACATAGTTTCTAACTCTGCCTGGCCATAACAGTAATGAATCCAATGGATTTCATTAGATAAAAGAGTATTAACCAATTCCAAAAACCAAGTGAAGGGCATTGCTGCTAATGCTATACTAGGATGAAAGGAAAAGACTTAACAGGAATATGACCCAGGAACATTCTAACCGAACATAGCATAACAACATATCAACTAGGAGGCCAACGGGTAGAAAACAAACAATTGTTACAGCCAAAAAAATACAAATTTAGCAACTATCCATAACCAGTATAATGTTTCCATATTAAGGCTCGTTGGCATAAAGCAGGCCAATGGATTATTTGTCAAAGCCAGCCAATAATTTTAGTCAGAAAAGCACTTAGAAGAATTAAACAGTTGGTTAGTAGCTGTGAGAAATTAATGGAGCATGCCAATAAAAAACTAATGCAAAATAAGTTGTAGAAGTTGATGATTGAATAAAATCTGAGCTTAATGGCAAAGGTCAAGAAAAGGAATCTATCAAATCCAAAAATCCCCTCTGGGAATTGATTTGAATTGACTAAGCAGTAAAAAATAAATAAAAAGGTAGGACCATAAAAAGCAACCAACAATGTTTCAACGTAAAAATCTCTACCACAATACAGCAAAGTGTAAACAATAAAACGGCTTTAGTAAAACCCAATGCTCTTAAACGGAGGCAAAGAGTCTAAGACTATAAATTCCTAAGGTTGAATTTCTAAAGTAAGACAGATCTTGCTGACAAATGCAATAGTGTTCAAAGCGGAGTGACAAAGCAATAATCCGAGAATCAAAAATCACAAAAAACAAAAAAATCAAGTTCCTGAAATCTGGATTCAATTTGATTGTTCCCTCTTTGAACCATTTTTAAACAAAAACTCAAAACTTTAAGGCTCGTTAGTTTTCAAAACTTCAGTTTTTATTTTGACTTTCAAGGCCAAAACAAAGTAAGGTGTCATAAAAAAAATTATTTTTATGTCATTTTCATTTTCAATAAATTCAAAATTTTGAGGTCTCAAAAAAAGAATTCAACACAGTTTGCTTACAAAGGATTGTTTTCAAAAACAAAATTCATAAACCACTTTTGCAAACACTTCCACCAAATGCATTTTCTATATTGTTTTCAATATTAAATTTTCAAAGTAATAAGAACAAATTTCAAAGCAATAAGAACAATGATGAGCATTAATAATCTTACCATTCACAATTTAATCCAGACAATTAATGATAGACTTTCAATTTTCAAAGCCACTTGTCATATTTTGGTTATGCTATGAGGAAGGAAAGAAAAAACCATACATATTTATTCTTAACATTATAGCCTTAGAGACAAATTACTAACATGCCATAAAAGTGTTGGTTTAACATACTGGTCCTTTGACCTAATTTGCACAAAGTAACAATCCTTAACCCACAACCACAAGGTTAATAGGTTGATTTCTTTTCTTTTCTTTCCTTTTTTTCACCTTTTTTTCCTTCTCAAGGGAAAATTGGATTTAGTGCACTTCCTCTCCACTTTCACCTCCTACAAAATAAAGGAAATTTTTGGCATCCCCTACCATTTCCTAACTCCTCTCCTTACTCGCAATTTTCCTACAAATTAAAGAATAATGTCTGCATTATTCCCCTCCATTAACTAATTTCAAGCAAACCTCAATCCAATTAATGGAATTTCAACCACAGCAGGTCAGAGGTGGCAAAGAAATAAGATTTTCAAATAATGTCTATCTAAAAACCAAGCATGTACACACATTGAATTCGCAATCACCAATAAGCCATAGAAAAAATCATTATCTGCATTCTTCCAGATTAGGCTGAATTCTTCCACTAAAATATATGATCACTTCAATTTCTCATACATCAGTATCACTAAAGAAACAGACAAATCCTAATTGAACACACATTATACAAGAAGATGAAAATTTTTGATCCATCACCCACACTTTCGATCTCTTTTTTTTCTTTTTCTTTTTTCATTGAAAAGGTGAAGCTGAGGCTATTACAGACAATTAAAACCAAATTGATTTGTATGTCAGAGTAAATGTACCTATTCATGTATGACCCTTTCTGTTCTTGATAGATCAACGCCAATTATGTAATCAATTGGCCGATCATAGGGTGTTTTTAAGCCAAAAACATCAATCATCAAATCAACAAATTTGTCAACTAAAATCCAAACCATATGCAAAATAAATTAATTTATATATATATATATATATATATATATATTACTAAATAGTCATTAACGCGAACAGTTTCATCAGTTACAAGTCCTGGAATTTTACTTGGTAGAAACCAAGGAAAATTAGCACGAAAATCTAAAACACAAAACTTTCTCAATTCCAAAAGCATTTTAGTCGATTGATCTCTGAATTTCTTCAGATTCCAAATCACAACGTATAAATATATAGAGAAATCCATACATATATCTATAGAGAGAGAGAGCCAAAGAGGAAAACCTCGAGTAAATCCATGAAACAACGACAAAATTAGCAGTAATGTCCAGGATCCAAAGGCCAAAAACGAAGAACAAAATACATCAGCCATCGGCTGAATCACTTACCATCTCATTCCGAAGCCTGTCCCTGGAAGCCTCCGTCTTCTTTCCCTTCGCCGAACTACGAAACCAACCCAAAAAAAGCCAAATACTACAAAAAAAACAAATCCAAACGCCGAAAACCAAACCCTAGACAACAATCTCAGCCATGAACGATCCCAAACAAGCCCTCAAACACACCACATTCTCGAAATCCACCACGAACCGAGTCAAACTCAGAGATCGGACCGATTCCACCAACCGAGTCACCGACTCCACACAAACCAAATCGAATCAACAACAAAAACAGGACCAACAATTCCCCGAGCGAGTCTTCGGAGGCCGTTCGCCGGCGAACGAGCGGTTTACCGGCGAGAAAAGAGAGGTATTCCGGCTGAAGGAAGTGATGCGTATACGTATAGAGAGAGAGAGAGAGAGAGAGAGAGAGTTTTTTTAGAGAGAGAGAGAGAGAGGAGAGAGATAGAAACAGTAAACGAAATAATCCACAAGTATATGGCTTTAGAAAACCGGAAAAGAGTAAAAAAGAGGATAATTTATAGTTTTATACTTGACACGAAAATTATTTCCAAAATTGCAACTAAAATAAATTCTAAACTTTTTTCCTAATTAATAATGGAAAAGAAAACAAGTGTGAAGGAAAGTGGTGGTGGTTAGGTTGGTTCAACCAAATGCCTCGCGTTTCTTTTTTACTTTTCAAAGGCGTTCGTTAATTTCCGATAATGCCCTCCCCAAGTTAAAATATTAAATGACTAATAGTTTGGTTTGTTGGGTATTACGGGAATTAGGTAAGGCCTTTTTAGTAAATTGAGTGGACGGTGTTACCGAAGACGAGGTCGGGGTCCTGTTGCGGTCAGAGTTGGGAAAGAGGTAAGAAAGAAAGCGGGAGCGATCACATGCATTATTGACCAGTACACCCTGTACATATTCTCAAATCGGGCCGTTGATCACTGTTGCCGTTTGCTATTTGGACGGTTAGCGAGTAACGAAACGCGGATCGATCCCAGACGTAGACCGCATGTGCATTAATTGTGACGCTCTTGCCACGTATAGCGTCACTTTGACCCTACATTTCTGTTAGCTGTGTAAAAAGACAGTTCTCCCCTTGGTTAGGAGGAGTTAGTTGATGTTAGAGTATTGCTCAACGCCATTTATTGAAGATAAAATAATTAGAAAGTTTTATACGAGAATCAGTTACTCTAATTAATTTTATGAATTTTTTAATACATTAATAGGTTCGGTTTGTTTTGACAATATTATTGTTAAATTTTTTTAAAAATTTTGATATGATTTGATAAACGTTTGTACCATTTCTCATTAAGTGACACCATCTTAGAGAAGTTAGATTCAATTTTCGAATCACGTTCTCTATTACTTCAATGTAACACTCAAATGTAACATTAAAGAAAAAATTCTTATTGTAATTTTTTCAAATGTGACATTCTGACATAATATACAAAAGAACTCATTAATATACTTTTTTTCAAACGTAGCACTCTAACATAGCATATTAAAAAACTCTTTAGTACATTTTTTCAAACATAACATTCCAATACAAAAAAAAACTCTTTAGTATACTTTTCACAAATGTAACACTCTGACGTAATACTCCAAAAAAATTTCAACACTCCAACACTAAAAAATTCCTTAGTGTACTTTTACCGAACATAACACTCTAAGGTAACACTCCAACACTAAAACATTCCTTATTGTACTTTCACAAACGTAACACTCCAACACTAATAAAAAATCGTTAGTGTACTTTTTCCAAACATAATATTTCAATGTAACATTCCAAAAAACTTGTTAGTATACTTTTTACAAATATAACACTCTAACACTCCAACGTAGCATATTAAAAAATTTCTTAGTATATTTTTTTTAAACGTAATATAATTTCCAAAATGTAGCACTACAATATGTGAGGACAAATGAGTCATTACATATCCAAAATGACTAAATGAATCACAAGAAAAAATATGAAACTATATGAATCACAAGCTCAAAGTATAAGATTTATTGAAAGATATTGGTTCAATTGTCTCTTAAAAGAGTATAAAAAGATGGTAAATCCTACTATTTTAATAAATAAAAACTAAGTTCGAGTATCATATCAACTTATCCCAAGAGTAAAAAAAACATTTTCCCTTGGTTAGGGGTGTTAAAAAAAAAATCCAGTAGCTTCTCTCCAGTCTGGAATTAAATTAGAGTGTGTTGATGAGTCTCTGCCCACCAAGGAGCCCATATCGATAATCTAAATAATTCAATGTGTATAACTCGTCAAGTACTTTATACCTGTAAAAAAATCATGTTGATCGGATAACGATTTAATCACTTAATCAGATTAGATTTGTGTCAACAGTAATTATAATTTTAAAAATAAATTATACACACAAATGTTATTTGATCAAATGGCAATTAATATTCAACATGATTTTTTATAGGGATGAAATACTCGACGAGTTCTACACATTTAATGGTTTGAATCGTCAAACAGACCCAAAATAGCCCACAATGGGCCGGACTAGACCGTTCAATTGGCTAGTCTAATTGAAGACGATCCAAGTCCTTAAAAAAATTAGAACCAATAAATTGATTTAATTTGGCTTAAATTTTTGGTTTGGTCGCATTTTTAACAATTTCGATTTTGATTATGATTTTGAAATTGATAAAACCATTCAAATTGATCATCTTTTCAATTTCAAGATTTTGATTTCAGTTCCAAATCAAAAGGTGACATATTTGTTTATTATTCTATATATATAAAGTAAAATATAAAAATATTTATTATGAGATTTGAAGACTAATTTTCATATGAAATTGATAAATTTCAATTCACTTAACCAAATTAATTATTATTAGTTTATTTACTAACATAAAATATATATCATATGTATTATTATGCAAAAAAATTTAAAATTGTAAAATTCAATCGAACTAAATCTATTTTTATAGTTTAATTCTAGTTCAATTCTACAAGTTTGCCAGTTCAATTACAATTCTTTTTTTTTTTTAGACACATAAAAACTAATTTAATTCTTAATTTATTTTTAAAAGAATTTAATCTAAATCCGTATGCACCTTTTAAGAAATATGTTAAAAACTATTTTTTTTGATTTTTTTTTTATAAAAAAATGTACAAGAAAAAAAGAGGCAATATGATTTTAAAAAATCAAAAAAAATAAATAAATTGGCTTTTAACCTCATTCTCAAAGTTATTTTGAGAAGTTCGTTAAAACTTTGTTTTTTTGATTTTTTTGACAAAAATATATCAAAAAAAAAAATCGAGACATAATATAATAAAAAATAAGTTAAAAATTAAAAATTAATTTTTTTGTCCAGCTCCCAAATTGCATTTTTTAATTTTTGAAATGATCTAAATAAATGTATTTTTTAAATTTTTATTAAAAAAATACAATAAATAAAAAAATAATATAACCTAAAAAAATAAAAAGATAAAAAATATAAAAAAAATAAAAAGATAAAAAATATAATTATATATAGCACACTTTCAGTTTCACTCGGGTAGTTTGGGGGTTTCACAAGGATCTAATCCGAAATTGAAGTCCGGTAATGTGGGTGAGAGTCCATTACGGGGACGAAACGTGGTGGACGGACAAACATAGTATCGACACGTGGCCTTGCTGGCGTCAGAATAGGACAGGTGGCGATATTCCAGTGCATGAGTTTGGTGTTTCTGTGTGCCGTCCGCTGAAAGTTGGAAAACAGACAGAACAGAAATAGCTGGCGGTTACAGGTTTCACGAGAACCCCCTCTCTCTCTCTCTAGACTTTCTCACTCTACATATATTTTCTCTCTCTAGATTGAGGTATGTACTTTTTTTTATTATTTAATCTCTGTGTATAGCCCTCACTCTATTGGTTGGTCTAGTTCTTTTAGCTTTTTGTTACGCGGAGGTTGGTCTAATCATTAGTTTTCAACAGTCAGCGAAAACGAAGGCTTTCAAGGGATAATAATCAGAGACTAGTAGTATACGATATGTAATAGGAGTCTTTGGCGGCTCGGCGCTGCACAGTTTCAGATTCAGTCAACAATTTCAACGCATAAAAGTCATCCTGACCGGCGGCTGTCGGCTAGGCTAGGCTAGGCTCGGCTCGGCTAAATTTTCTCTCTCACTGGCTTTCTTTTGTTTTCCCGGATTTTGGGGTGATTTTCTCGGCTGGACGGGTTTAATTGGGAAAGAAAATTGTTGCTGTTTTTCTTGGCATGAGGTGACAAAAGATCCCTTTTTTATATTTGAAGTGAAGGACCACTTGCATCACATATCAACTCAACCACTCCTTTGCTTTTTCATACTCGCAGTGGGTGACACTCGTCTGTACTCGCTCTATTTATTGCCATTGTCAACCAGGGTAGCTTAGTACTTTACAATCTGGTTTGGGAATAAATTATATAGTAATTTTTTGAATTTTTATTAAAAATTGTGTAGAAAAATAAAAAAAATGATATAATAATTTTTAATAATTTCTTAATTTTTTAGCTAAAATGTATAATTGTCAAAGAGGCCTAATAACGTGACGCATTTGTGTTATAAAATGCGAGTAATTGGATAAAAGGGCGAGTAGGGATATCTTCTTCTGGAATGATAGCGAAAAGACGAAAATGCCTTGACGAACAACTCGAAATCACGTAGATACCTTTTGCATTTTACATGAAGATGTTTGAAGTACACAACTGGCTAGTACACAATGGAGGCCTGTTTGTGTTAATTAAAAAATATTAATGATGAGTGTGTAATTAAAATAAATAAAAATAAAATAAATTTTGTATTACATATAATATGTTATGTAAGTGACAAATGTCTTATTTATTAAATTTAAGGAAAATTTACCAATAAATTCTATTTCACAAACTATTAAACCAATTAGTCCCAACTTTATTCTTTTGTTCGGATAAGTTCTATCAGTGGGGAAGTTTGTTTCATGCTGATCCTATTTTCCATATTTAGTGTAACTGTGTGGATGATTTTACCCATTATTGTTATGTTTTCATATTCTGTTGGGGGCCATCAGTGTGATCCCTCACTTCACCATCACTTCACCATCTCCAACATTATAACTCTTCCCCCCTTCCTGTCTGCAAACCCACCCGCGCTTTCTCTCTCTAAACTTTCGTTCCCTCCAAACCCTTCCACACAACAAAAAAGAGTAAACACCTAGAAAATTGAATTATAGAGAGAGAAAATCGAGGTTCGATTAGGGCACTGTCATTATCATTGTCTTCATCGATTCTGAAACCTAGCAATGGGGAAAGACGACGATGAGATGAGAGGAGAGATAGAGGAGAGACTGGTAAACGAAGAGTACAAGATTTGGAAGAAGAACACACCGTTCTTATACGATTTAGTCATCACTCATGTTCTTGAATGGCCTTCTTCTCACTGTTGAGTGGCTTCCCGATCGGGAAGAGCCGCCGGGGAAGGACTACTCGGTCCAGAAGATGATTTTGGGGACTCACATATCCGAGAACGAGCCTAATTACCACATGCTCGCTCA